TGCTCAAGGTTCTTGGGGGTGGCACTGTTTCAACCTTGTGTCAACAGGCCTTGGAAAAGCTACCAGAAAGCATTCTCCCAAATGTGGAATCTGGAGGCCCATCTAAGACGGGATCATCTAAGCCCACAGCCAAGCCTTCAGTTGCCAAACCTAGGTCGCCACCCTCACCGTCTGGCTCTGAGACGGGTTCACCGGGTAGATGGAGCGAAAACAACACGACCTCTCCGCAATCGACATTGTCAAGTGACCAGTCGCCTTCCAGCACGCCGGCAACTGTCCTATCCAATGTTCCCTCCAATGTTGACTTGACAACGGTTGCAAAATCAGAGAAGGCTCTAACTCCTTCCTCTGACTTCGTGAAGACAGAACTGGTATCTTTCCAGCAATCACGGTTCTGGTTCCTAGGCCTCCTGATAGACGACCAGGCAACATTTAACGTCACCTTTTACCTCCGAATCACCGGTAACTTACGTACTGGAGATCTCGAGCGCGCTGTTCGACTAGTCACCAACAGACACGAGTCGCTGCGCACATGCTTCGTGGCCCATGAACAAGAGGCAGACTTGGCCTATCAAAAGGTTTTACCCAACTCCCTCGTCCGGCTAAAGAGGAAGAACATCAACAGGGTTGAGGATGTTGACATCGAGTATGCTGCTATGAAGCAAGTTCCGTTCGATCTTGCCAGTGGGAACTTGATGCGACTAGTGTTGCTCACTCTTTCCGCTTCAGAGCACTATCTTCTTTTCAACTACCACCACATCCTGATGGATGGGGTCAGCCTGCAGAATTTCCTTGCTGACCTTGAGAAGGCCTATCAGAGACAGCCCCTTGGCCCGCCTCCCTGCCAGGTCCCCGAATTCTCGCGTGTTCAGCGAGCTGCGTTTGAGAGCGGCGTTTTCAACGAGGACATTGCATATTGGAAAAATGAGTTCCCGAACGGACACCCCGTACTACCGCTCTTGCCTATGTCGCACATAACCTCACGCATGGCGCTTAATTCGTTCAATGTCCATCAAGTCGAGTGCCGAGTGGATTCTGAGCTGATGGCTAAAGTTCGGGAGGCAGCCAGAGTCAATGGCTGCACGACCTTCCATTTCTATCTCGCGACATTCAAGGCCATGCTATTCCGCTTCACTGATGCTGGCGATTTAACAATCGGTATCGCGGACGCCAACAGAATTAGTCCCGATGTTGAAGGCACCATTGGCCTACTATTGAACCTCCTCACGCTACGCTTCCAACGCAACCCCAGCCAGACATTTGCTCAGAGCGTTGGAGAGGCCCGTGGAAAGGCGCTGGAAGCCCTGAAACACTCCAATGTACCCTTCGATATCTTGCTCAAGGAATTGAATGTGCCTCGATCCTCGGCATATAGTCCATTTTTCCAGGCATTCTTTGATTATCGCCAAGGTCATCAAGAAAAACTGTCTTTTGGCAGCACTGAGTTTGAGTTCTTACAGGTCCATCCTGGACGTACCGCATACGACATGACTCTTGACGTAACAGATGGTGCAGATAGTGCTCGCATCCTGTTCCGCACTCAAGCCAGCCTGTACGACAAGACGGCTGCGCAGCTGCTGCTGAATACATTTATCCACCTTTTGGATACATTCGCGACAAATACCTCTTTGAAATTGGATGATTTTGCCTTATTCAGCGACAAGGAGCTGAAACTCGCACTTAATGTAGGACATGGTAAGTAAATATGTTGAATGTCTTTTCCCAAAGTTATACCTATTAACGAAATCAAGGTCCCAATTTTGAATCATCCTGGCCTGGTGGTACAATTCCTCATCGGATTGATCAAATTGCCAAAGAGAATGATGATAAAGTTGCTCTGAAAGACGGCCACGGCACAATTCTTACATACGGTGCCATGATCAATCGCACCCAAGCCATTGCCGCAGCCTTACAGCAGGTTGGTGTTGGCGAGAGCTCTCGAGTTCTCGTTTTCGAGGATGCAACCGTTGACTGGCCCTGTTCAATGCTCGCTATCATGCGTCTCGGAGCTGTATATGTTCCATTGGATCTTCGGAACCCGCTGCCTCGCCTTGCAGATGTTGCAGGGAGCTGCAAGCCGGTTGCTATTCTTGTCGACTCCACAACTCTTGACAATGTCGCACAAGTGAATGTCACATTTGCAGAAGTCGTTAACGTATCTGAGGTTGGCGTAAACTCGATCAAGGTAGCTAATGTGTCCCGCAGCGATGCTGTTGCTGCACTGCTATACACGAGCGGGTCGACAGGCAAGCCCAAAGGCATTGTTGTGACGCACTCAGGTCTCCGCAATGAGATTGAGGGCTACACGTCGCAGTGGGGGCTGAAGGCTGAACGGGTGCTCCAGCAAAGTGCTTTTACCTTCAACCACTCATCAGATCAGATCTACACAGGTCTAGTCAACGGAGGCTTTGTATACATCGTGCCTTGGGACAAGCGTGGGGACCCTATTGAGGTGACCAAAATCATCAAAGAGGAGAATATCACCTACACAAAGGCCACTCCTGCCGAATATTCACTTTGGCTCGATTATGGAAGCGACAATCTAAAGCAGGCCTCTTGCTGGCGTTTTGCCTTTGGAGGTGGCGAGTCTCTAACTGGAACAATCACGCGGAGCCTCGCAACCCTGCAGCTGCCCAATCTACGTTTTTTCAACTCCTATGGACCGACCGAGATCTCTATCTCGTCGACCAAGATGGAAGTTGCGTATCGCGAGTCACCCCCTGATGGTCGTATTCCATGTGGCTTCATGCTCCCAAACTATGCAGCGTATATTCTGGACGACCAGCGCAAACCAGTACCCGTCGGCATGCCGGGCGAATTGTACATCGGTGGCGCGGGCGTATCCCTTGGCTACCTAGACAATGAGGAGCTCACAGAACAACACTTCCTGCCCAATCTATATGCCATACCAGAGTATGTTGCACAGGGTTGGACGCGGATGTACCGCACAGGTGATATCGCACACCTTCAAGATGATGGGGCAATGGTGTTCCATAACCGTATCGCGGGCGATACGCAAGTGAAGATACGTGGTCTGCGGATCGAACTCGGTGATATTGAAAGCAACATCATCAAAGCAGCTGGGGGTGCTCTGAAAGAAGTCGCCGTCACACTGCGCGATGGAGACCCGCCTATCCTAGTAGCACACGTTGTGTTTGCCCCTCACCATCACATTGTCGATACGGAAGCGTTCCTGGTTCAACTCTTAAAGAACCTGGATGTGCCCCAGTACATGGTCCCCGTCATTGCGATCCCCTTGGAGCGTATGCCATTGAGCAACCACTCTAAGACAGATCGCAAGGCACTCAAGGAGCTCCCGTTGCCACAGAGATCCAACCATGATACTGGGGATAATACGGAGTCATTGACAGAAACTATGCTGGAGCTTCGACGCCTCTGGGTAGATGTGCTGAATACTGGGGAGCTAGGTCTTGACATTGGCCCTTCAACAAGCTTTTTCACGGTCGGTGGCAACTCCCTGCTCATCGTACGACTCCAATCTCGCATTCGACAGACATTTAATGTCACAGTGCGGCTCTTTGACCTTATTGATGCTAATACTTTGAGCGCCATGACACAAAAGATCGAGGAGAGCTTGAACGTTGACCTGATAGATTGGGACAAAGAGACGGCCTTGCTCAGCGACTTCACTATGTCGGAGGCAACCAAGCACCAACCCCTCAAGACAACTGACAAGGTAATCCTCGTTACAGGATCTGGGGGCTTCTTAGGCAAGCACATTCTAGCTGATCTCATTGCCCGACCGGATGTATCCAAGATTCACTGCATTGGTCTCCGCGACAAGCCAGGTAACACACCACGCCGCCTAGCTTTGAACTCGACCAAAATAATCACTCATAGCGGCGATCTGACCGAGCCATGGCTTGGCCTTGGCGAGGAGAAATTTACATCCCTTACTCTGGAGGTGGATGTGATATTGCACATGGCTGCGACGCGATCCTTCTGGGACAATTACAGCCTCCTCCGTCCCATCAACGTGACGCCCACGAAACTCCTGGTTCAAATGGCTACTGGGCGCAAGATACCAATACACTATGTCTCCAGTGCCGGCGTGGTCTCTGCGGAAGGTGTCGAAATTCCTGCAGGGTCAGCGGCGAAGTACCAGCCACGCGTGGATGGGTCCAATGGGTACGTTGCATCACGATGGGCGTCCGAGCAGATCCTCGAGCATGCTGTCTCGGCTCTCGACGTGCCTGTCTCAATTCATCGATTCGTTCCGGCCAAAGAACCTGCCAATCAAACGGTTGTAGTAGACGCACTGCAGCATTTTGTTAGCTTCATTGATGAGCTGTCCATCATGCCCGACTTCAGTGGTACCACAGGTCATTTCGAGATGACTCCCATACATTCAGCTGCTAGTCAGCTTGCGGAAAATCTTGTGAAGACCCCAACGCAAGAATCGTCGCTGTTGGAGTTTTTGCATCATGACTGCCCCATTCGCATTGACATTGCTAAAATGGTCGCCTTCTTGGAGGAGCAGAGAGGGAGCAAGGGTTTGGAGAGGGTTCCGGGACTCAAGTTCGTGGGAGACATGAAGCGAGCGGGATTGGCCTATTTTGTGACGTCGCAGACACTTCTCATGGGCGGAACAAATGGGACAAGTGCAGTATTGGAGTCGAGGCGATAATCTTTTAAGGGTTATCTTATAATTCCATTTTCGTCCCCTTTACTCTGTACATCCATGGAATAATCAGGTATCTTATAAATCCATAGATTCTTTTTCAAAAGTACCTGTTATTTTCACTGTACTACTGTATTACTGTTCTATAATTACTAGCGCTGATCAGCTTGAAGTACGTGCGCCTTAAGACCGGCATACAGAAGCTTAACACCATCGGAGTCGCGACGGCCCCAATGGCCCTTGCCTGATAAGGAAAGTTGATCAGGGTCATCTCACTTCTTAAGGAGCCTCCAACCCCCCAGCTTTAATTTCCGGTTTCCGGTTTCCTTTTCCCTCCCAATTCTACCTTTTGCCCACCATGGACGAAGGAATCTTCACCAAATACCCATCCCTCAAAAAGATGGAAGGCTTAGATGATGAAGACATCGTCGAATCGCACGATGGCCGAGAGGTCACCTTACTCAAATACATCTACAACCACCCTGACCTCGACACCAAGCTGCGGGGCTCCCCGTCCGCCATCCTCGCCGCCATGGACGAGTTCGCCGCCCAGGAGGACTTCCTTATCAATATAGGCTCCGACAAAGCCAATAAACTGGCCGTTTTGATCCGTACACACTGTCCCCGCGTGCTGGTGGAGCTTGGCGGTTATGTCGGGTTTGTGGTGGATCCCGCGATTACCAAGATCCAATGGAGGCGCTAACCATATACGCACGATATAGGTACTCGGCCATTTTATTCGGAAATATCCTCAAAGAACTACACGCGCAGGACCAAAACGACGTGAAAGATGATAAGGAGAACAGATCTGCCAAATTTAAGCTTTACAGCGTGGAAATCGATCCACTCATCGCCTCCGTCGCTATGAATCTCGTCAGCCTCGCGGGTCTCCAGGATATTGTTGAAGTAATTGTGGGGGCATCTCAACATACCTTACAGCGATTTCACGACGAAGGTATCCTAGCTGAAACTGGTATTGACTTTCTGTTTCTGGACCACGATGAGGCGCTCTATGAGCCGGATGTGAAGCTGGCGGAGAAGCTGGGATTCCTAGATAAGGAAGGCGCGCTGGTGATTGCCGATAATGTTCTGAGACCTGGTGCACCGGAATATCGGAGCTACATGCGGAATAACCCGCGTCTAAGCAAGAGCTGGGGATTACCTGGTTTGATTGTCCCGGGAGACTTTGAGGTTAGTTGGTTGGCCTGTGCCCGATTGGCATTGTGCCTGAAAGGCGCAGAAACCTTTGCAATTTTGGACATTTAACTGACCATTTTGATGTTAGGACGAGTTGGAGATTAGTGTAGTTGGCACCGGTGGCGCGAAATGACCTGAAGCCTAGTTCGAAGAAAGCTAGGCAAGCTGCGGAGAGGAACGGAGTACGCAGTATGCACTTTCCCTTCCATTCGATCCCCAATTATAGGAAGCTACGATATGCTAATGGCTCACTGTTCCCAAACAGCATTGATGTCACTACGTACTGTCTAATCCAGAAGTGAAGTGCATTCGAGAAAACTTCAAAGAATGCACGGTAATCACTATTGCCCATCGACTGGATACCATCTTGGATAGTGATCGGATTCTTCTGCTACACTATGGGGAGGTTGTCGATTTTGATACCCCTCCTGACCTTCTTGGTCGGGCCTCGAGATTCAAGACGTTCTATGAGGCGGTTGGCAGTCAATAAATATATGAAAACCGCTTGGTTGTTTCACTTTACCTAGGTGCAAATTGGTGAGAAAAGACACCCATTTTGGCGACCTGCAGTGCCAAGGAAATCCAGAGGTCTGATCAACTGTCGTATCCCAATGGTCTTAACTGGTCCTAACTCCATGGGTGGCCTAAACCCCCGAATTCTCAGTGACGTCAGCCGTATAGCATGAAACTACTATCCCCCCGCCTCTTCGTATTACTCTTTGCATTTACACAATATTTTCTGATCTATCTCCATAATTGAAGACACTACACTATGTCAAACTCATACATTCTTATTCAAGGTGCAACGGTACTCTCTATGGAGCCGCCAGAAGGGAAGCCCCTCTACAATTATGATATTGTGATAGAAAATGATCGCATAAAGGCTGTAGGCCGCGGCCTATCTGTGCCGAGTGGAAACAATGTGTCCATAATCGATGCAAAAGACTGTATTATTACTCCGGGGTTCGTCGACGGCCATCATCATATGTGGCAGCACCTCCTACGCGGTATCACGGCTGATTGGTCTTTGTTCGGCTACGCATGTCACCTAAGGAGTGTCTATGGGAGTTTGTACACACCACTTGATGTTTACTTTGCCAATTATGCTGCTGCACTGAGTCTGCTCAACAACGGCGTAACCACCGTCATGGACCACTGTCACGTTATAAACTCGCCCGCACACGCCGATGCAGCGGTGAGGGGCTTGAAGGATGCTGCTATCCGAGGAACATTCTGCTATGGGCTCTACCAGAACCCGAAAGAACCAGGGAATCCTGCGAGTACTGCGACAGACACGTTTGACCAGACCGCACGAGTCGACGATGCTCTCCGTGTGCGTCAGGAATACTTCCTGAACAACGATCCAGACACTTCGCTCCTCACTTTCGGCATTGCATTGAACGATCCACCGACCATATCTCGGGAACAAAATATCCAGGAATTGGATATCGCGAGGAAACTCCAAGCTAGGCTCACGACCGTACATACTTCAGTAGTTCCTCACAAGACCCCCAAGGCTGAAGTCGTCCAAAACATTGCTGATGCAAATCTGATGGGGTCAGACCTCGTATTCAGTCACGGAGGTGGAATGACAGATAACGAGTTGGCTGCGGTGAGGAGTTCTGGTGCTGGCATTGTTGGAACGCCCGATACGGAGCTGCAAATGGGCATGGGATATCCCGTGGTATGGAAAGCGGCTGATCTGGGTTGTCGGGCATGTCTTGGACTCGATATCACTTCGAATCAAGGTAATGATTTCCTGGCACAGATGAGGTTGGCTCTTCAGACGCAACGAGCTCGCGACTTTGATCATCGTACAGTCCAGAGAGATGTCCGCAGGAAGACAGTAGATGCATTACGCATGGCCACTCTGGGAGGAGCAGAGGTTATGAATATGGGGTCGCTGGTTGGTTCTATCGTCCCTGGTAAAAAGGCTGACCTGGTAATCTTCCGCTGTGACGATATTGATACGGTTCCCGTTGTGGATCCTATCGCGACTGTGGTCTTCCATGCATCGCCAAAAAATATTGACACAGTTATTGTGGATGGAAAGATTGTCAAACAGAATGGTCAGCTTGTCGGTGTTGACTGGGAGACCCTACATGATCAGATGATATGTAGGTCCCGACGACTGACGGATGAGGCAGCCAAAGTCGATATGGACAAGGCGGAATCGCTGTTTCACTCTATTTTCGAGAAGGCCATGGAAAAGTAAAGGCGATGATAGCTTGTCTCCTGCGGGTCACCTGGTGTGAACCTTCGATTAATGGTAACAAGTGTGACCTTCGCACCTGCCTTTGATAATAACCTTGGAATTAGGTACCTTTTGTATAGACGCACCATGCAAAAGGTACAAATGATACAACACAGGTGCATTGAGCGCTTGGGCCGTCTTGGCCTTACTCTCCCAGAACCAACGATCTCCAGTAACCATCTTCCTAAACTGCAAATATGACTATGATGCCCCGTTGGAAATGAAAACGGCAGCACAAAAGACTTTCAGTTAACCTGGCATGCACCTCAGGCGACCCTGAACTAATTCCGTCTAATCCATGTAAAATTCGGGGAAGCTAGGCCCAGGGACATTGCCGACGGGGGTCTTTTGGACACCATGCACGGGCTTTGTCTTTTAGTTAACCGTAGGAGAGCCTGTCGGCTATCATTAGTTTACCGATATATGTTATATTGTATATTTTCTTTTATTCGGCCCTGGCAGGACGGCATTTGTAAATACCACTACGAACATTTCCCGCTCTGACCAGCCGAAACTGGATGAGGGGTCGATATAGAACGGGATATAAAAGTACATATATTCCAGTGGGTATGAATAGCAGACATTGTGGTGCGATACTACTCTCTAGATTGAGTAGCAATTGCTCATAGAGATAACTATTCTCGCCATGTTTTCAATTACCACCATCGTCCTTGGACTTTTCTACCTTCTGCTTTTTACTGCCGTCGGGATATGCAAACACATAACTGGGGGTCAGGATATCACAGTGTTGTTTCAAAATGACGGAAACTGGACGGCACACGCCGACAAGCCCAGTGCAATTTTGGTGCTAAACCCCAGCAGTCGCAGGGATGCTGTTGATACCTGTGCCTCATACGGCGAGGAACTTCTGGACTGCAAGGATTTCCTTGCATTCTACCACCAACTACAATACCAAGTATATCTCGGCAATATCAAGGAGACTCAGACCTTATGGTCTTCTTGCTCGAAGAAGCCCTTCGCACTGGATGGCACTCCATCCCACATGAAAGATTCAACAGGGTCACCTTTCATATGCACAAACTCGGCACCGACAGTAACAAAAGTTGACACGGATTTCTCAACATTCCCACACATCAACATTACAAGCAAAGGTACAACATTCGAGGGTCTGCGCGACCACATGGCCTTCCGATTTATGGGAATCCCTTTTGCCAAGCCACCAACAGGAGACATTCGCTTCCAGCACGCACAGCCATGGAATGGCACATACGTCGGTGCGACAAAATATGGTCCAGCCTGTTTACAATATGGTAGGTTGAACGGGAATCAACAGGGCTTCAACCCATGGGGAAATAGTGAGGACTGCTTATCCCTTAACATCTACACGCCACACATCCCCGCTACGCCATCCATCAAACTGGTGCCTAAACTAAAACCCGTATTGTTTTGGATGCATGGAGGAGCCTTCACTCACGGGTCTGGGGTAGACGGGGTATTTGATGGGGCTAGTCTCGTTAGCCATGGAGATGTTGTCCTGGTTACGGTCAACTATCGACTGAGCATTTTTGGCTTCTTGGCCCTCAATGACACCACAATCACAGGTAACTATGACGTGTCGGATAAGATTGAGGCTCTTAGGTGGGTTCAAAATCACATCTCCGCCTTTGGTGGTGATCCGAACAATGTTACAATATTCGGCCAGTCCGCAGGAGGCTCTGCTGTCATCTCACTCATCCAATCTCAAAAGGCTGCAGGGCTCTTTACAGGGGCAATTGCGCAGTCATCTGGGGGTGGTTCTGCTAGAAATCCATCTGCTGCCGCGGCTCAGATCCTCCCGTTCATCAACAAGTTATGCCCTCATGCGACTGGGGCAGTGCGCCTAGAATGCTTGCAGTCCTTGCCAGCCGAGACACTACTAGAGCTCACGGAGACAAATATGACATCATGGACGTCTGTTATCGATGGTATCTACCTTGAGGACTTGCCTATTGCGCAGCTTGCAAAGGGACGGAAATATGTCAACAATGTGGAATTCATGGCAGGGTACATGCCTGATGAATATCAATCGGTTGCCGCCGAGGCTCTCCCTCCCAATATCACCAGCCTCGAGGCCGGACTCGAGATCATGCAGAAGACTGGTGTTTTGAACAGCAAACAAGTGGAAGCAGTCCTAGAGTCATCATTGTGGGAAGTATCTCCTACCGAAACTACAGCCGTGGGCGATTCCTCATCGGAACACTCATTCAACAATGCCTACAACGCCACAGTAAATGTTGCGACCAATGCCTTTCTAACTGGACCAGCCATCCAGGTTGCCCGGATAGGAGCTGTGTCGTATTCCTTCGATCGAATGTGGATCTATACAATGGAGCGTGGGTATGCGCTCTCATACTTCAACCCTTGGGGCATGTGTTCATTCCCCGTTGACCACCCCGAAGTCCCTTACTACAAATGCCATTCAGCCGATCTGTACGAGGTCTTCGGGACATACTATCTCTATGACCAGCCTATCCGCGTTGAAAATGATGTATATTACACCAACGCCATCCAGGACATGTGGGCTTCTTTTGCACGAACTGGGAACCCAAACGTTGACAAGTCATACTTGACAGCCAGGGGGTATAACTCTACTTTGGCCTTCTTCTCTGATTTTATCTGGCCTTCTTTCAACGCCATCACCCCCCAGATAGCATCCCTACAGTTTCCGGGTCCAGCAATCAGGACATTACCAGATCAAGAGCGCATCGCGGTACTGACGCCGTTTTTTTCGGGCTAACCTACGGGAGAAATTTGAACGGGCTCTTACATTGAAGTGATATGCAGCCCAAAAAGGCTTGATCAAATATTTTAACTTCGTATTACTTCCATGGCTCACACCACATCATATTGAAACAGAGTATACACTACTATGTAAAGACGGGCGGACAATGGCTGAACCTTTTCAATCATAAAATAATACTTTATTTTGCCTCTAATTAGTCTGTACCTTATCGTTTTATGCATAACAAGGGCCCAGGCCATGGCCCCAGGGCCAGACAACTGGGCCAGATGAGTGGATCGGTGTAGAATCAGTGGCGAATTTGCCGAGTTACATTTCAATGATTCAGAGTATCAATTATTGATGAAAGTAGAAAACATTTTAACCAATAATAGGTCTCGGAATGACCACCTAAACATTTTGTGCTGATTTTAGTGTTGGGGGGATGGAGTTGGGAGGACTCCCGCCCTAAACATCTGTAACATGTGTTGCCTGACATTCCCAACGGTTCAACAGTTTCTTGCTGAGAGAAACACAACTGATGATTTACTTTGATATGAAATAACTAGATATTTATTATGTTAAATAACCTGAACTCAGGGTCCCCGGTTTGAATACTTTCACCTCACAACCACCAATTCAATCCCAGATTTTCATAAACTTGCAAGAGACTTACGATTTTGAAATCCACTGCCACAATGGCCAAAACTGAGCCAAGTACTGGAAAACAACATATCAGCGAGAAGCCCGTCACACTCGGTAACTGGTACCAGCATGTCAACTGGATCAACACAACCCTGATCCTGATCGTACCCGTCGGCGGCATCGTCGCTGCATTCTATACGCCGCTGAGGGCACTTACTGCTGCTTGGGCACTTCTATACTACTTCTGGACCGGACTGGGTATTACTGCCGGCTACCATCGTCTATGGGCGCACAGATCCTACGAAGCGTAAGTCTACCACTGCCCCACCCCCTGTTTTGCTTCAAATCAAGCACTAACTAGCATCTGATATTTCCAGTCGCCTACCAATCAGGATATTCCTCGCATGTGTCGGCGGTGGTGCCGTCCAAGGCTCAATCCGGTGGTGGAGCAGTAAGCACAGGGCACACCACAGATGGACCGACACAGTCAAGGACCCATACAGCGTCATGAAGGGTCTTTGGTATTCGCATTTCATGTGGATGGTTCTTAATCAGAACCCGAAAACCCGTGGCAGGACCGACATCTCCGACTTGAATGAAGATCCCGTCGTCGTCTGGCAGCACAAGAATTACGGATCTGTCATCTTGGTTTTCGGGATGTTGTTCCCTATGCTTGTTGCTGGCCTGGGATGGGGTGATTGGAAGGGTGGTCTTGTATATGCTGGAATTCTTCGGTTTTCATTTGTGCAGCAAGCCACTTTCTGTGTCAATTCTCTCGCTCATTGGTTGGGTGAACAGGTCAGTCATTTTCCATATCCTATATTTCTATTCACGCTCACTAACACGCGTTAGCCATTCGATGACAGGAACTCACCTCGCGATCACGTTGTTACCGCACTGATCACTCTCGGTGAAGGTTACCACAACTTCCACCACGAGGTAAGAAGGTTCTTTCCCTTTCATATACCTCGCACCCACTAAACCCTGATTAGTTCCCCTCCGACTACCGAAACGCCATTGAATGGTGGCAGTATGATCCCACAAAGTGGTCAATCTGGGTGTGGAAACAGCTCGGTCTGGCAACCAACCTCAAGCAGTTCCGAGCCAACGAAATCGAGAAGGGCCGTGTGCAACAACTACAGAAGAAACTTGACCAGAAGCGCTCAAAGCTTGATTGGGGTATTCCCCTGGACCAGCTGCCTGTTATCGACTGGGACGATTTCATTGCAGAAACACAGAGTGGTAAAGCTCTAGTTGCTATTGCGGGTGTTGTTCACGATGTGAGCAAATTTATCGCAGAACACCCTGGAGGTAAAACCCTCATTTCATCAGGCATAGGGAAGGATGCTACTGCCATGTTCAACGGTGGTGTCTATACTCACTCCAATGCTGCTCACAACCTCCTTTCTTCCATGCGAGTTGGGGTGATTCGCGGTGGTGGTGAGGTTGAGATTTGGCGTCACCAAAACAGTCAAAAGGGTGTTTACGCTTAAGCCTTCGGGGAGTAATTAGAGATCAATTTGCCAAGTTTCAAATTTCACGAGAATATGAATATCCGTTTCGACCAATAAGCAAACCCTTTCTATGTATGTGTTATCGATCTGCATCCCTCTTCATTTTCTAAGTTTGTGTGGATTTATATCTCAGAATAAGGCGCCGGATCTTACGACTGATCTTAGAGTGTTAATCAACCTAACTCGTATCCACAGGGTTGATCAGTAGAATTCTATATACCAATGTAGGACTGTAGAATGATCGGTGCTTTTATATACTGCCTATCCAACCTTGTCCAGCCTCAATTTCTTTTCTGAGATTATTACAACATACGATTGAAGGGTTAAGCCAACAGCCGGAGTTAGGAGATAATAGGAGATAACTCGGTCTCGCTTTCTTGTCGGATAAAGAGTCAATCATGTCATGTTCACACAAAAAAATTTCTTAGATGATCCTTAAGGTCGCTGGGAGTTGGCGTAGTATTCAGCCCTTTGACTGCCAAGACTTCGTTTTCCCTTTCCCTCACTTCATCATTCCCTCACTCTCCCTTTATCATCCTTCCTCACTGTGTACTGGGGAATGTGTCGGATGACTGCCACGGTGCTTTTTCACTGTAATTATTCATTCTTCATTTTCTATACTAGATCTGAATTTAACTTGATTCTTCAGTTCGCGTCATTCTGAGCCCTTGATGGTTCTTGCGAGAGAAATGAGAGACACAGGAATCAGTGCCCCAATCGCGAAAGATCCATCGATGAAGATACAAGGCGGTCGCCATGCTTATCCCACATCGAAATCAAATGAAGACCGCCGAAATTTGGATGTTGTCTTACGGAACGGACTAGCCGGAGGTGTTGCAGGCTGCGCTGTGAGCCTTACCACCTAAACTACTAACAATAGATTGCTAATACCAGAGTAATGTAGGCCAAAACCATTGTCGCCCCATTGGAGAGGGTTAGAATCCTCTTTCAAACTTCCCACTCTCATTTTGTGCCATATTCGACTCGCTGGGATGGGTTTATTCAGGCTGCCAGACACATTCGAACGTCGTATGGTATACCTGCGCTTTTCAAAGGCCACTCGGCAAGCTTAGTCCGCGTATTTCCATACGCTGGTATCAACTTTCTGGCATACGAACAATTCCGAGCAGCAATTATCACATCTCCGGAGAAAGAAGCACCATGGCGTCGATTTTTATGTGGAAGTATGGCCGGTGCGACCTCTACCCTGATCACATATCCTCTCGAGTTGATCCGTACACGCCTTGCCTTTGAAACAGTACAAAAGAATCCCTCATCCTGGATTGGTATTTCTCGGAAAATGTACTTTGAAGGGGGAGGCAGTGGGAGCTTGTCAAATCTCTATCGAGGAATTGCCCCGACTATGCTAGGCATACTTCCATATGCTGGCACATCATTCCTTACCCATGATCTACTCAGAGACTGGCTTCGCACGCCTATCCTTGCACCCTATACTCTGGAGGCGCCATCTTCCACTCGACTGACCGCAGTTGCACAGCTTTCCTGTGGAGCAGCTGCTGGCATAGTTGCTCAAACAATTTCTTACCCGATTGATATCATTCGGCGACGGATACAAGTTGGAAGTGTGGTTGATACAAAATCAGGTATTTTGGAGACAGCCCAACGTATCTTTCTGGAGAGAGGAATGAGGGGTTTTTATGTTGGGCTGACCATTGGCTATGTGAAAATGGCTCCTATGGTGGCGACAAGTTTCTATGTCTATGATCGGATGAAGCGATTTTTGGGGCTTATTGAGTAGCTGCTTTGTTTCTCTTTCCCTTTGCTCCATTCGATATTGATCCGGACAGCAACTAGCCCAATTTGGAAAGGTCCACGGGATTAATGTGGCTGACTAATAACTACAGGGCGGTCAACAAATTACTCCACCGGAGTTTTGCCGAGTTCTGCCGTTCGCTGGGCTCGGTCGAGGTCACATTTGTTCCGCGCCGTCAGTGGCAGAACGCCTCTTGAGCTTGACTGGACCCACGGCCCTTCGGCCCTTTAAGTTACATCCCTTGAAGTCACCCCGGGAATAGGGGCTCGGATCTTCCCCCTCATTATCCACCGTCCGCTTTGTTCAACTGTCCAATGATTGACCTGTATGTCAATCACACCACCTGCATTCGGATAAATCCTGATCTCACCCAGGACCTTTACCCCGGTTTCCATCCATTGCCCCCGCCCCCTAGCGTCCAAGCCATGCGGAGGTAGTTTAGCGCAAATTAGGGAATGTTTATTGCGATCCGAACGGAGCTTCTCATAAGATGCCTGTACCCCTCCGTGGGCTCCGTTCATTAGTTTGCCCTGCCCGGTTCACCCTTCGTTTTCTTCTCCTCTTTTGTATCTTGTTTCTCTCGGTTACAACACTCCTGGGATTCAAAATGCATCTCAAATCTTATATTACAGCCGCCCTTTATGGGCTTCCTGCCCTGGCCAATGCTGTGCCATCACCATCTCACTCTCAGACTGCGTCTCCCTCGCCGTCTGCGACTGGCTCAAATGCCGATCACTTCAAAAGCTATACGATCAAGGCAGAAAATATCACTGCCAAGCTGATTCCGTACGGCGCGCGTCTCACCTCCTTGCTAGTTCCAGATCGCGACGGCAACGTCCAAGATGTCGTCGTTGGCTACGATGACCCCAAGGAATATCTGCATGATAGTGAAACCAATCGCACGTTCTTCGGCGCGGTTGTCGGTCGCTATGCCAACCGTATCAAGAATGGTACCTTCACCATTGATGATAATACCTACCACGTTCCTGAGAATGAAAACGGTGGTGTGGACACCCTCCACGGTGGCTTCATCGGATATGATATGCGCAACTGGACAGTCACCTCCCACAGCGAGTCCTCTATCACCTTCACCTTGCTCGATCAAGGCTTTGAGAAGTTCCCAGGAGACGTCATTACCCATGCTACTTTTAGCGTGTCTACCGAAAAGACTCAATCCAACCCCAAGGGACTTCCCCAATTGACCACGAAACTGGTGGCTCTCTCTCTTACAGAGAAGACCCCCATCATGCTGGCCAATCACATCTACTGGAACTTGAACGCGTTCAAAGAAGCCAACGTGTTGAAAGACACCACCCTGCAGCTTCCCCTCTCACAGCGGTTCGTCGGCGGAGACAGCATCTTAATTCCGAACGGCACCATCCACGACGTTGAAAATGCCTACCAAGGAGCTCTGGACTTCACCAGCCCCAAACTCATCGGCAAGGACATTGAGAAGACCTACGACCTCTGCGGTGCCGGCTGCACAGGCTACGATACATGCTTCCTCGTCGACCGACCCTCAACAGACGCGTCGAGTTCGTTGGCCACGGTCCTGAGCGCCTCGTCCAGCTCCACAGGTATCAGCCTCGACGTCGCTACCAACCAGGCCGCCCTGCAAATCTACACCTGCAGCGGACAGAACGGCTCAATCGCCACTAAGAAGTCGCAGGCGAAGCGCAACAAGGATGAGGGTGGTGACGCCGGTGCCACCCACGTTAACAAATACGGATGCTTTGTTATCGAGACCGAGGACTGGATCGATGGTATCAATAACCCTGAGTGGGGTCGTATCCCCTACCAGGTCTTTGGTCCTGATGATGGGCCCGCCGTTAACTGGGCTACATACCAGTTTGGCACCCTCTAAATTTTATAATTCCACAGTACAGTGTGCTATGTATTTGCATTGGATTAATAAACATTTCTGTGTGGACATTTACGCGCAGCGCTTATTTTGGAATTCATTGCCTCACTCTGTACGAATGAGAACCATCAGTGACCAATTAAATCATAGAGCACGATACTGGAAACAAACATAATAAAACATCTATACATGCAAATTCGCTCAATGGTCTGCAACACGACCTATGCAGCAGAGAATAGACATCTGACATCTATAACTTCGACAAGATACCGCCCCCATTATCCCCACTCCCCTTAACTATCTCATCCTCCCAATAATTCGGATTGAAAGTGATCCTGTTCAGCGGATTCAACCGATGGGCACGGTTAAATAGATCCTCATAAACACGGCCATCATATCGGCCCAGCGCACTATGATTAAGTCAGTCAGACACTTATTCCTGCGTCACATCATATCAAACGACTTCATAGCCACTCACCTATCCAGTAAATAATCAGGAATCATCCATGAATCAACCAGTTTCACTGCATGTGGTCGGATACGGGCCATTAGATCTTGGACTCGACTAGCTATGGTATTCAAATCTGCTTGGGAGACGGCGTTTGAGCGGAAGACTGGTATTTTTATTAGTTTGCAGGAATTAATAGTGAGTTTGCTGCTGGTGGCTTACATTCGAAACTTTCGTTCTCCATGCTGTATAATGCAAATAGGCGGAAGCAGTCCCATAGGACGGTTTTGATGGGTGCTGAGAGGGTTTTGTCGTTGGAGAGGGCGTCGAAGAAGGTTGCGACGATGATCGATTCGGATTGTGCTGGTGTTTTGTCTTAGGTCAGTCTATAACAACACATCGTTTCCGAGATTCGGCTTACCCCGACTTAGTTTGTGGAGCTGGATTAGAAGACTATTCCAGTTTTGTTTCTTGATAACTCTTTGTTCGTATGCATCGTATGCCTATTGATCATTAGTTTCAAGTCCTTTGGTATACTAAGTTTTGTAGAACTTACCATGGCAGTGGCTCTCAGCTCAAAGCTCTTAACGATGTCCAAATCACTGTTCAGGATATTGTATGTTCTCTTTTCCGATCCTAGACGACGCTTGTTGCGGATAAACTCTTTAAATCGAGAATCAGTCTCATCAAGACTAGCAGTATCAGGCGACTCGACAGCAGCAGTCATCTTCTTGATCAAATATGCTGCAACCTGCTGCGTAATCATCCAATTATCTCCCTCAACAGTCGGCTTGGAGAGGTAATCATTATTAACCTGGATCAAGCCACTCCCACCACCAAACCCATGGCCACCCATCGCCCGTCGACATGTCTCAATGCCATCCGCGGCGAGGATAGTGCACAGGCTTTTCAATCCGGAAGACATGCTGTGCATATGAGCCAAGGAATTGAAATTTCCCTTCTCGATATCCTGTCGTGCGTTTTTGTACACTGTCTGCATGGCAAGACCTGTGTAGTGGAGTGCAAAGGTCGTAGCAAGGAGAGGCAGAATTCGAATTTGGACAGTCGGATAGTCCAGAACAGACATTTCTGGTCCCTTCTTGTCGCCGTCTCGATCTTGGAACTGGCGTCGCACGCTGCTGTACCGCACTGCAACGGTAACTGCCCGTGCGAGGACGAGTCTAGCGCGGTGGACCATGTTCGACCGCACATAGGTCAGTGAACCATAGATCAAGGCTGGCTTCTCTGGTTTGGTATAAATCCCTGTGTTGGGATCTACATTCGAGTACCGTGATAACATAGCAGAATGTGGGATTCTAGCATATTGTTAGCGAATAGACTCCTATGATATGGACGAATGGTATGGACGAGGAACAAACCTGAACTGGTCAAACAGCATATACGCATTGTCCATAGTAATATAACCATATTTCGGACCAATATCTCCTACAACAATCCCATCCAATGGTTGATGTGTCTTCATATCCCGCACCTGCACAATAAACGGATGAGGGCCATGCGAGACGTATTTATCCGGCGATCCAGGATCCGGGAGAAGCAATTGCGCAACCACAATAGCGTGGTTAGCTAAACGGCCCAGACTTCCATTCCACCATTTGCTCGCGGTAAGAGTCGGACTATGCAACACGAACTCCTTGGTCCGGCTATCCCATCGCGCCTCAAGCTCCAAGCCACGGACATTACTTCCATGTCCCAGTTCTGTCTGTGCATATGCACCGATGATCTTCCATGACTCGGTCAATGGCAGCCAGTACGCTTGTTGTTCCTCGCTGGCCTGTTCACGGATGGTCGTGATGAACATCTCCATGTGCAGGAAGTAGGGCGACACGTCGTCGACCAGGTACTCGGCCATTTGGTATTCAAGGTAGCTCCATTTGTGCGTGTCTCTCATTCGGCGCAAGAGCTTTGCGCGCGCAACTCCTAGCTTGAACCTTTCCGGTCTGGAGAGGTTTTGTTGCTGGTCTTTGGAGAAAAGTGGCTCTTGTTGGATGATGGGCAGGATCCGAGCTTGCCGTTCCAAAAATCCATCCGAAGCCAATAAATGTTGTCCTAGTTCTTCGGTGGCGATGTTGGATTGTTGACGCTCGCGGGCGAGTGTTGTTGGTCCATCTGGCTGGCTTGGGCGAAGGTTATCCGTGAAATCAGGCATTTTGAAGTTGACTTTTGGAAAATCGGTGCCAATCACAATTCCAATATCCTCGACCTTATTCATATATCATATATCATATATCATATACCCGTACCGAATTGCCTTGGCTAAATCCGTAGTAGTTCCAAAAATCACCGAGTCCCGAATGCCGGCACTTCTACCCCGCAGGGTCAATGTAAACCGCGGGAGAATTAACAAGTAGCCGAATAGACAGGGTATAGCTGTGAATTATTGGCTGGGGAGCTCAGCGGGGGAATGGTGTGTTGCCGCAGTGTGTATAGTAGAATGCAATGGGATAAGATGGTCAACCACCCCAGCTCAGTAGTACACAAACGCAAACAAAATGGGAGACCGCACTCTATTCATACCTCCACATGTGGGAGACAACGTGTTGCCAAACCTACCCTTTTTCCATAAACTATTGCGGTATGCGCAACGTAGCCCTTCGCCGATTGTGGTTCGGGACTTGGTTGCCGGCGTGGAAAAGACATACCATCATCTTGTGTCGGATGTGTTGGCCTTTCGCAAGGTTTTAGAAAGATCGCTCAGTCATGAAGCTCAACGTGATTTGATCGCGGACAAAGAGGTATATATTGGGTTACTTGCGCCGGGAGGGTATGAATACACCGTCGGCTTCATCGCAATCCTCGCAATCGGTGCAGCAGTCGTGCCTATGGGTAAGCTTCAATATTCTAGGGGAAGACGCATAACTAATAAGCAGCAGCTGCCGCATTACCACCAGAAGAAGCCTCGTACTTCTTATTGAAAGCGCGATGTGTAGCTCTAGTATCCAGCACAACCAGCGAAAACACCGCCCAGTCCGTAGTTCGCTATATGGAAGAAAGAAAAGGCGCGCATATCCCCTGCATTTCTCCAATAGCATCTCATTTCCGTCCCACGCTTCTCCCGTCAGATGAAGTGACCATCTCCTCTGGCCCAGTTCCAGATATGAACGCGGCAGCACTGGTGATCTTCACTTCCGGCACGACCGGACCTCCCAAGGGTGCTGTGCAGCGTCGCAGTTATATCTCCGGGAATGGAGAGGCCGACGCAAACTATTACCAAATCACAGACAAGGACATCGTCCTCCATGTCCTTCCGGTGCATCATGCCTCGGGTGTGGGGTTGACCTTTCTCCCGTTCCTCGCGGCCGGTGCATGTATTGAGTTCCGCAGTGGAAGCTTCGACACAGCGTGGACGTGGGAGCGCTGGCGACAGGGAGGTCTTACCTTTTTCTCTGGAGTTCCCACCATATACATGCGCATGATGCGGTACTATGAAGAGAATATTGCAAACCAAACTCCTGAAGTACGTGACCAGTATATCGCTGGTGCGCGTCAGATTAGAGCGATGCTTTGTGGTACTTCGGCACTTCCAGGGCCTGTACAAGAGTTCTGGCATCAAATCAGGAACAAGCCAATTCTCACTCGATATGGTGCGACAGAATTTGGCGCAGTCATCAAAACTGAATTGGATTCTGATGGAACACCTCACAACAGTGTTGGGCGTGTTGCGGAGGCGGTTTCACTTAAACTTACCGATGAAGGCCAGATATTAGTGAAGTGCCCTTACATGTTTTCCAAGTAAGTCAAATGTCCTATCAAAAGCCAAGTGTGTTCCATTCTCACATATCTTCTCAACAGGTATCTTTTTGACGAGAAAGCCACTGCGGATGCACACGACGCCGAGGGGTACTTCAAGACGGGAGACATTGCTCGCCGCGAAGGAAAATATTATTTTATCCTGGGCCGTGCCTCGATTGATATCATCAAGTCAGGTGGCTACAAGATCTCTGCGTTAGATATCGAACGCGAGATCCTGGGTCTGGACTATGCTTCTGAGGTCATGGTGGTGGGCGTTGAAGATGAGGAGTTTGGTCAACGAGTCGCTGCTACTATCAGCCTCAAACAAGATCAAAACACAACCCGTAAGAGCCTCACAATCGCCGAGCTGCGGGAGGATCTGCGGAGTAGGATGGCTGGGTATAAGATGCCGACTATCCTTCGTGTAGTCCAAGGTGAGCTACCCAAGTCGGGGACAGGCAAGGTGCAGAAGAAGATATTGGGACCGCAGTTCTTTCCGCCTAACTATCAAGAGCTGCCTGAGGTACAAGTCTGGAGAAAGGAGAATAAGGCCAAACTATAGGATCAAATAGAAAATAATTCAAGTGCTAAATATTGTCACACATACATGTACTTGATCTCATTATTCATCTCAAATCTTGACCTTAGCAGGCGCCGAAGTCACCCGACTATGAACATAACTAATACGCTGAAACTTCTCAATAGCATCCCCCCAAAGCTCCCGACGAAGCAAAGCATACACTCTATACAGAATTAGTAGATATTCTTCCTATAAAAAGCTTCTTGTACAGATCGAAACTTACCCCATCTTTGCTTTAGGCGCCCATTTCGCCCCCAATTCTAAAGCAGCATTCAGCATCTCCTCCGGCTCTGCAACAGCATCCACAATCCCATCTTCCAGTGCTTCAGGTCCAGTCCACCTATGCGCCTCAAGCAACATCTTACGCGCAATCTGTGGACGCAGCTTGAGACGAGGCAGTGAACCGATTCCGTCGAAGTGAAGGCCCAGGTTCACAGGTGGCATAGAGATAAAGCCACGGCGGGAGTTCATGATTCGGTAGTCGTGTGCCAGGGCGAGTGGGCAGGCACCACCGAAGGTGTGGCCGGTTAGAAGAGCGATTGTTGGGAATGGGAAGTCGAGGATCGTGTGGATGAGCTGGATATTCGTTGTCAGCATGGTCTCATCAATAACATGCTACCTTCTCTGTTTTAGGCTGGTCTAAGAGCTGTTCTCACTGGATAGAATCCATCTGTATTGGCAAATGGATTGTGGTCTGATTCATCTAACTCGAGTCCCTATGAGTATTTTGTTAATTTCTCCAATGTTGTTCTGTTTCGAGGACTTTAATGTACAGTGCACCAGAATTTGGCATCATTGCCCCGCGTAATTACTGCTCCTTCTGAGTCGGAGCCCAAGATTCTTTCTATGGAGCGATAGGCCCGTATCATCTCCTGACAATACGATGAGTTCAACCGGTTCTCCGGGGGGTTTCTGCATGGTAAGAACGAACACATTCCCATGTCTTTCGAGGGAGAGATTGTGGAAGGTTGGGATTTCTGTCATGATGCCAATTGTACGACTGAGTAAATATCGATTTCGTATTTTCGAACTGCTTCGTTAACCCATTCGTTACATATGTATCTTGCAATGGACGTACATAATACATTCGTAGATCCCCCGCATTTCCACATCCTCGCGTTCACGTTGCCGAAATTCACCGAGTGCCGAGATCAAAAGATATTTGAGAATCTTACCATATATTCGTCAAGTGTCATATTCTTTATAAATGATCTATAACATATGGGTATATAGGTATATAGTCAAGGAATTTCTACCAGGCAATCTCGCCATTCCATTCTAAATCCTTAAACAGCCAATCCCCCATTCCCTGGTATTGATTAAAGAAATCGCCTGGGATACCCTGCGACATATCTCCCATAATGAGGCCATCATTGCGATCCAAAATTGTCGTGAGCGGCCTGTACTCATCCGAAGATATAGCATCCGGTGCCCGGGACTCGGCCCAATTTCCTAGCACCTCTGGGGTCCCGGCTACCATAAAACGATTTGTGCTGCCATCATGCCCCGCTTGTCCGAGGTCCATGAAATATGACCAAGCCCAGGAAAGATCCGGGCCAAATCCCTCAAAAAAGGGTTGATGTTCTCTAGAGAGCGTCATCGACGGCATTTCGTCTACTGTCGATGCACTTCGCTGCTTTTCAGCAATGCTCTTCAACGCTCTTAGGCTACCTTTCGCGGATGACCAGCGTTTTGCGAGTTCCTCGAGGGCCAGGTAGATGGATTCCAAGCTACCTGCTGCCTTCTCCCGGTGCGAGGGTACGTTATTGCACGATAGAAGCCCGATCCCGGCGGCCAAAAGGTGGAATGTGAACACTGGGCTGAGGAATTGGATCTCATCTCGAGCGAGGAAGTCTTCATATATTCCTGCCACGAAAGACGACGCTAAAAGCACTCCTAGTGATGAAGACTCTCCGGGGTTGGGTCGACACAGGATTGCGAGGCATGTAAAGTATGGGATGTGGAGCTGACGTGCTTCAAAATTGTATCGGGATAATGTTCTTTTCGGTGGTGCTGCATCTTCTGAAATACTCTGGATGGAAAACAAGCGCAGTGACGGTGGAATATCGCGTGTCCATCGATATAAACGATTCTCGAGGTTCTGTCGAGCCTCACGTGTGAGAGTCTTGCGACGACAGTACTCGGTGAGATGACCCAGAATAGAACTGATCTCGACATATGCAATAAACAGAGTAGCATTTGAGCTTGAATCGTGGAAATCCTCAGGGCAAGGCGGGGCCACCTCACAATCCTCCAGATCCACTGCTAGTGGCCGGCCCTGTCCTGCAGAGATGCAACAATCTCTGGCCTGTCCGATGTCAGCGATTGTCTATGCTAACACACATTCCTTACTTACGTATAGAGTCCACCACAGTCTGCGCCTCAGGGCAGCATCTCTTTTATTCGTTGGTTCCTTATGCAATCCAATCTGATGAGCTAACCCAACTCCCACATATCGCCAGAATCCACTAGTATTGGTAGACACATGTTCAGGGCCTTCTGGGTTATACCAGTGCAAAATGCACACTGCTGCGACGACAGTCACTGGATTTCTCTCGTATCCAGACCAGAACAAGGCTTTTGCGCGGCGATAAAATTGATGCAACGATGCATACGCAGTCACAGCTGGTGCAGATGTGACTCGGCTCGCAGCGACAAAAATAGATTGGAGAAGTAGCATTGACGGCTTCTGAGAGCCGCTTTCTTCTAGCCAGCTCCGCTCAATTATCGGCATCCATGGTGAACATCGTTCCATAAATGTGTTAATCAACCCTTCTCGGATAGCTCGTGGTGGGAGATCGAATGCACCTTGCAGTCTGAGCATCTGGATGTCATCTGCAGTTGGTCCATCCGCGTCTCCTTCTGGGTAAGATCTAGCCTGCTCTTCGTTGATTGCCACTGCGTCATCAAAGTAGCGAGAGCGTGCCATGAAGCTTAAAGTCGAAGCGGATGAATATGGATTGGAGTCAGGTGTGATCGGTGCATGGTCTCCAGTGCCAGCTCTACTTTCGCTTGTCTCGCGGTACTCATTCCGATCCCGGTCATACTCGGAGCTTGTGCGTAAAGATCTGGCTGAGCCGATAGGACTAAAGTTACTCGTCGGCTCTTCCCAGTTCACCCGTCTCCTTCTAGCCAATTCGGTATCATTGACGCTGCAGTTACCATCGTTACTATGGGCTCTTTTTCTCTTGCGCTCTCGTCGACTGCACGGCAGTTAGTATATTTACTCCCGCGTCATAAATCAAAATTTGTTTTCGCAAGCTTACGAACAGGGCCATTGGTGCCGTTGGCAGTTCACACATACATCGGGATTCCCGTCGAAGATACAGCGAACCTAAAGAGATCAGTATGTCTCTCCAAATTATTCCATTTTCTCGTACCTTCTTTTTATTGCAGGCAACACACGCTGTAGGTGCACGTAGTGGCGGAGGACTGAAATCGTTCATTTTACTTTAGTTTCATGCATTTGTAGAGAAGTCGGGGACAATTCGGTCTCTTCGCCCGAGGTTGACCTCGGGATTTCCCCAGCTTTTTATTACTTACTCATCCGGGGTTCTTTCCAATGTGAATTAATATCGAAATACCGGTAGTACGGCTGTAACGCGGTATTAGCGGCTTAATACGTATTCTGAAATTTTGAAGATACGTAAGTTGCTTAAGCCGCATACTTTCAATAGCATGAGCGATTATTATCTTTTGTTTAGTTAACCGTATTTATGAAGATTTTATTCCGAAGTAAAAAAAAAGAAAGCAAAAAGACAAAAAAGAATGAGGGCCCGAAGCGCGATTCGAACACGCGGCCTCTCCGAATTTGAGATGTGAACCCAAACGGAGAATCATACCTATGAAGAGTTAGTAAGGAAATTGGTGTTATCGTAAATTGAATGAAACGTACCACTAGACCATCCGGGCTGAAGATGAGATAATCAACGGAAGTATGACTCGCGACTTGGATATTTTTGAGCTTGTTGAGTTATTTCATTTACTTCTAAGGTTGTCATCGTATTTATTATATGAATAGTCGGCCACTTATGTCTTTTCGGTGTTCTTCTTAGATATATTTTTCAAGTTTATACAATGGTAAAAAAAAAGGCATACCCTATTCTATGTAAAAGACTGTTTATGTATAACATTTGATTAAAGCGGTTCAACTAACCTTGGAACCAACAATCAGTTATGCCACTATATTAATCACAGGCGGCTAATCTATTTCTTTTCTCTAGATACAAGTGTTACTACTATATCGGTCCACGGGTGTATATAGCTATTTCCTATACAGCATCTCTAAGCATAATATTGAGTTGGTTATCTTATTGGTATTACCTGGTGAGATATGATATAACTAGCGCCCAGCATGTTTAAAAATGTGTGTATATTAATAATAGCGTATCATATCTTTATGGTTTAGTAAAAGAAATATGGTTCAAGTATACAGAGAGGGAATATATGTACAGACTTGTCACATATACCCATTGGATCATATATAGATCAATCCAGACACACCTACCACGTAGGTAGCCATTGCATAACGATCTAGGCAAAGTAAGGCTAGTAGTATATGGAACATAGGAATTTATTATAACTTATCAAAGTTCATGGGTCCGTATAAAAATCTTCACCAAGATATTGTGGGGCGCCAAATTTCTTCTATTATATAAACTACACATACCCACAGGTGGCTCGTCTATTGTTTTGTTATAGGAGTTACACAAATGTGAATTTCTAGCTAAGTCGATTGGGCCGGAATGGCTGTACTCCTATGATCAATACCTACAACAATACTATATTGTTTAATGATCTATAGGCCATAAGAAGGTGTAGGAATACCTCAGGAGCCTGATTTCATCTAGATATCCTCAAACAGCCCCACAATATATAATCAGCCCGGATGGTCTAGTGGTACGTTTCATTCAATTTACGATAACACCAATTTCCTTACTAACTCTTCATAGGTATGATTCTCCGTTTGGGTTCACATCTCAAATTCGGAGAGGCCGCGTGTTCGAATCGCGCTTCGGGCCCTCATTCTTTTTTGTCTTTTTGCTTTCTTTGATTGTACTACTGCAATACAACAAATAAGCTGTCTATTTTTTTTCCTTCTCTCTATTGTTGCGGTCTACCTCGCGGAAGAGAATATAACGTCCGATAAGAGGTCTGTACGTTGTCACGATCGAAGATAAAAACATTCTCTATATAGTTATGAGCTGAATATCAGACAGTATTATTTCTTTATGATAACACTCATTACATTATCGGGATTACGATCCCCACGCTCAACGAAAGCCGGGACATAACCGAAACTTCGGCTATCCTATTTGGGACACTCCATGATAGAGAAATATTATAGTAAAAAGAAGATATAGGGAAAGAGCTTGGAAATCCAATGGGGTATCTATTGTTTTTGAAAAATGTACATGGTTTTCATGCCCAGCCTGCAAGCGTCCAACTTGACCGATCACCGCCAGATCTCAAGCCCGATCGACGATCAGGAACAGGATGGTCGATGTCTCGTGTAGCTCCAGCAAGTCCATGCTGTAAGAACTTCTCGCGTTCAATCTCTACCATGCCCCGGATCTTCAAACTGGTTGTCAGGCTTGCACCCGCCCATGGACCAAGAGATTCAACTTCACGCAACACTCCTTGAATAGGAACTGGGATATCTTTGTTTTGTCGGCGGAGCTTTTGTTCCACAAAATCGATCTCAGGCACCTCCTTCGAGGGATCGGCTGGTTCGTCATCGGTGGATGGTGCTTCCGCATTGCTCTTAGGGGTTTCAGGTGGGCTGGCAGCCTTTTGGGCAGAAAGTCTCAGCTCTTCCAATCTTTGTCGCTGTCGCTCGAGTGCTTTGCCTCGAATTGGACTCCATCCATGGCGATCAATCAAAAGTGAGACTTCTTTAAGGACCCGTTGCCGCAGCCCGGGAATTCGAGATCCGCCGCCCACAAAGACAATGCGGGACATGCATGTTCCTCGTGCATCAGGGTACAACGAGAGAAGGGTGTTGTAGACAAGCAAAGGCAGGGGTTTTTCTTCATCATCCAATTCATGTTCTTCAACACCTGGTGCGAATAAAATCTTTTCGGCAGGTTCGGCGAGACGTGAAAACGGCACGTCCATATATTCTTCCTCGGGGTTTGCAGGCGAAGGAATTGATAATTTCCGGTCTGGTTCATCTGGGTTTGTGTAGTCTGCCTGCGATTTGCACCAGGCAAACCGACTGACAACTTCTTCACAGTATGCGAATCCAACGGAGATCTTATCCACAGTCTCCGTATCCTGGTTCCTGTCGGAAGCCAACCCAGTAAGAAGTAGCCCCATTTCCTGCATCAAATGCTTCATAGAGCGTGTTGTTCTCTTTGTAGTTATCTCTCGGTATTCATAAATAGCCGTCGCCGTGGTCTCAACCCAGCCAATGTCAACCACCAACGCTGACCGCAACCCCGCAGCTGTGGCCGACATTGTCGCACTGGACAGAAGGGTAACACTCGGAAAGCGCCAGCGACTGAATAGAGTCGACAACAATGACGACAGCAATGGATGTGGCATGAGAGACGGCAGAACAAGAACAAGACGAGATGTGCCTGCATCCGTCAACAGGAACTGATTGTATGTCTCCCGAAACGCGCGCTCGATCTTATCCTCGACAAGGCCCAAATCCACCTCTCGAGAGTCTGGCCGCCACAATTCATATGCCCGCGTCCACTCTTCCATGTCGACAGGTTGCGGTAGCCGTCCGGCACCGGTGCTGCCCTGGATCCATCCTCGATAGTCCCCCACTCTCCTCGAGTCTTCGGGTCCAAAGCCAACCGCACATACGGGCGTGCTGCTTCCTTCAAATCCTGCGCGGAGCCATCGTGCGCCTATCTCAAATATGATCGCATCGTCTTCGCTTCGAAAGGAGGAGCTCGGTGATGTGCTGCTGGCGAATGAGGGGTTTCCTGAACGTGTCTGTGGTGTATGAGGAGAAACAGGTCGTGCTGTCTGGCTATTGCGCAGACCGGAAGTTGCTGATGCGCGTTTACTGGCACCCATTGAGGGTGTATCACTCGACATGCTTGGTTGGGCTTGCTCTCCTTTCTGGGAGCAAGAAGAGTCCGGGGGTTCGTAGTAACAAGTATTCAATTCACCAGCGCAGGGGTTGGAGTTTCAACGCCATCAGATTGAATTCAAAGACAAAAAAGAAATGTAACATCTATAAGCTTGCGCAGGTGGTTCATTGGGGAAGCTTGTTGGTAGGCAACGGATCTACATCGGGCCGTCTTTATTTACTTGACAACCTCCTCTCTCCGCAACAGCCAAGACGTATTGTACATCTTTAACTCCACATGGGCGCTTTAACTGCTTTTTAATTTTTCGATTGCCTATAATCGGCATGGGTATTCCTGGGTAAGTGAATCCATATCTTTTTCTTTTTTTTTTTTGCATGGTAGAAAACATATATCACTGAGCATGAGTGAAAGCATTGTTTATCCATCGCATGAGAAACCAAAATTTGTATTTCCGAATAATTTCCCAGTCAAAAGGCTAACTTCCTTAAGGCTCATAAATGCCATTGGCCCAGGAGAGCGTATCTCTCTGGCCAAGTTGGCAGTGACGCACCTGGAACGGACAGCAAGGCCGATCCGCATTGCAGTAGACATTTCGATCTGGCTCTTTCAAGTCCAAGCAGGTCGAGGAGGAAGAAACCCAGAGCTACGCACACTATTTTATCGATTATTGAAGTTACTTGCATTGCCAGTTCATCCCCTTTTTGTCTATGATGGACGGCAAAAACCTGCTTTCAAGAGAGGCAAAGCAGTCTCAACCCGCAGTTATGGCAATGCGCCGATCATCAAACGCTCCAAGGACCTCATTGAGCGATTCAGATTCCCGTGGCATGAGGCACCCGGTGAGGCAGAGGCCGAATGTGCTCGGCTGCAACAGGCAGGTATTGTAGACGCTGTCATGAGCAACGATGTCGACGCATTGATGTTTGGATCGTCTTTTACCATTATGAATTTTTCAAAAGAGAGCGGAAGCGGCAGTTCTTCTGCAACTCATGTCACATGCTATGCAATGGGACAGGATGGACATCCGTCAAACATACCCCTTGACCGGCCGGGAATGATTCTATTCGCTATGCTCAGTGGAGGGGATTATCTACCATCTGGTGTTCCGAAATGTGGCAGTAAGCTAGCTGCAGAGATTGCTAAGGCTGGATTCGGCGAGGACCTTCTACAGAAGCTTGCGTCGCAAGTAGACGTGGATACAGGATTGGGCGAGTGGAGAGAAAGACTCCAGTACGAACTTGAGGAGAACGAGAGTGGTTATTTTACGAGGAAACACCCAGCAGTTCGCATTCCAGAAGTTTTCCCAGACCGACAAATTCTCGAGTACTATGCCCAGCCCAAAGTTTCGAGCGATGAGGAAATGACCTTTTTGAGAAATCGGCTCGCACAGGCTTGGGATAAAAATATCGACCCCCTAGCAATCCGAACATTTGCCGCGGACCACTTTGAATGGAATTATCGATCGGGGGCAAGGAAATTGATCAAGCTGCTGGCAGAGCCTCTTATCTCGTACAGACTCCGTCTCCAGAGACCAGTTCTAGGCGTGTCGCCTGGTTTTTCATATGTGCCCGATTGCCCAGCTGGTCTGCAAAAGGTGTATCGAAGCCGGTCAAGCTTTGGCACTGATGCAGTGCCAGAACTCCAGCTAGATATGCTGCCCGCGGATGTGGTTGGGCTTGATCTCCTTGCCGAAGAACCAAACCCGCCGTTTCCATCCGAAACTACTGTGCAAGAAGGCGAGGAAGAGGACGATGCAGAGGTAGCTGCTGAACCGGTCCCTCCCTCACCATCGAAGTCTCGGATAACGAAACGATTTGATCCATTTTCCCTCGAAAAAGTCTGGGTATTCGAGACTGTCGCAAAAATAGGTATTCCTGGGGTTGTGAAAAATTGGGAGAAGGAACAGGCCGCGAAAGCCGCGAAAGCCGAAGAGGCTGCAGCAAAGAAGAAGACCAGTACTCGACGTACTGGCCCCAAGAAAAAGGGACCGATTGATGCTGGAATGAAACGGGGGAGTATCTTGAAATACGGAACTCTCACGAAAGAAAAGTCCGAATTGTCAACAACTAAAAAAACGCATTTGTTGGAAGCCGCTACATCGACCCAGAATCCCCTTTCCCGGCTTGTTTCTGGTGTTGGGTCTTCTTCGCCCATAATTGTGAACCAGGAAGACGATCCTTTCTCCTCTCCAAGCATGTATAATCAGCAAGGATCCTCACCGACGACGCACTACGTTTCCCGGGAGGTCGATAGTCTCCTTGATTCATTCTCTTCGATGTGTAACTTGTCTCCTTCTGCCAATATCAAGCGTCATCCAATCTCGGACCAGTCTCGCATCAGAGCAAGACGCACAGTTTTGGGAGCTGGTGGGGTTGATATTGAAGAACCGGACGCACTGGACATGAACACCGATTGTTCTCCATCTCGACAAGCAAGGCACATGGGGCTCAAAGTCAGCTATTCAGTCTCCGATGTTTGTGAATCTGAGACTTTCATGGAGGACTTCCTAGCCAGAACACCGATGGCACTGCCTTCTCCATCTGGGAAGACTCTATCCAAGTCGAAAAAGAACCCCAGAGTGCAGCGTGAGGAAAAGGCCGAGGTTGAACACATCGAGAAAGCCATCGAGTCCCTTTCTCTGTCCCCGGAAATCGACGAGAGTCAGCATGAGGACAATGCAACTTGCTCGTTGCGTAAACCCCCAACGAAGAAGGCACCGCCAGTGAAAAAGCTCGGGCTCGATCCTCTAAGACCGAAGATGTCAAACTACCCCGATCTTGCAGTCAAGTAAACCCCAAGCCTGAACTAGAGCCTGGGCACACGCATACATTGCCATTGAGCTTGAAAACATGCGAAAACAATGAGACCAACGACGTAAAGAAGTCTCCCAAGAAGACTTCAAAGGAGGTGATGAGCACAAGTTCGAAGCACAAGACCACGGGACACTTGGAAAACATTATATTACATGACGGGTTTTGGTCGATCGACCCATCTCCGCCTGAACAAGATCCGTGCGAAGGCTCAACCACCGACAGCCTGGGCACAGCGCGCGGACAGGCTACCAAGAAGAAAAGACTCCCCCGCGTCAGCATTCTTGACCTCGTCTGATTAATGCATTTAATATACCCCTTTTCTCGTTTTGGCCGGTTGGCGTTTAGCATCAATTTGATTTTTCCTGGGTTTGGTGGTTTGGGATACAAGCATGTGTGGTGCAACGGCATTTTTCGTTATCCCACGGCGTTGGATAAACATGTTGAGTACCTTCTGTTAAAAATCAGGCAAGAAAATAGCTTATGGATTGCTGGATGTCGTGTATATATGTTGCGGGTGTCTTTGTAAATGAGAAAGACCATGTGCATACATCTGAAAAACGTACAAAAGCCATGTCCAGATAGTAACCATGCAAAACCATGCAAAACATACACCCAAAGAGTATAACTCGAAGAGAAGAGAAAAGTACCAGCTCCTATCTAAACAAGAATCCAATTCTTGATGCAGCACAATGCCAGAAAGTAGAGAAGCACACGAGAAACATGCCCAAATATTAAACAGAAGTAATATTAGAAAGCGAAAAGGGAATATTGTGCAAGCGCCGATAAATCAGGAACTGTATCTGTATCACTTATGCATCTACCCAAACACCTTGAGGAACCCCCAGAGGCCAACTCCACTCAACACTGGGATCGTCAGATTATCATCCCAGCCCCACATATCAATGAACTCGCTGCCAGCGGCAACAACGCCAGAGACGACACTCATGACACTCAAAGCCAAAGGACCAGTAATAACCGCCGAGTCACTGGATTCCCATCCCAGAAGACCACGAACGCAGTCCGGGAGCAGATTCAAGCGTCCGGTGAACATAAATGCGTCTTGCGGGTCATTAGGGAAAGCACCAATGTAAGGCACGAACCAGCCCCAGAAAGCAGCAGCGGTGACAACACCCATGAGCCATGCTGCCATGGTACCAGCCAAGCTCTTTCCGGGACGCAGACGGGGGGGTGTGGCGGCCGTACAAGCGACCGAATGTCGAGGCGGCGGTGTCACACCAGCTAAGGAGTAACACGCTCATGACACCGACATCCTTGGGGAAAAACCGAAGAGCAACGTATGCTCCGAGAAGATACCAGATCACACCGTTGTAGCCGGTGACCTCTGTTTCACGCATGAGGGCACCCATGCACCGGATGTATACCTTGTTGACCTTCTCGAAGCGATGACGGATGAGGTCCGTTGCCGCGATAGGTACTAGTGCGGTGAAAAGGACAGGTGTTATCTGCAGAGTTTGCACGCCTCGGCTGTATAATGACAAAGTCAAAAATCCGATTGACACGTGCAAGACCTTGCGCGGGATCTCATGGCGGTGAATGAAGCTGCGGTAGCGGGCGTGGAGGGGGATCAGCCCGAGGGGAGATGGTGATCTTGATAAGTCGCGCAGGGTAGCGGGAATGCTAGACGGGGAGAGAAGATTGTTCGAGGCAGTACCGTTGGCCGAGCGCGGCGGCGAGGCGGGTATCTTGGGGTTTGATCGGCGATTGCGTCGAGCCGAGGGTGTCGTAGGGGATCTTGATGCTCGCGATGAACTGGTACTTTCGGGTGAATCTTCTGGCTGACGCGAGCGACGTGCTGCGGACCGTGTTACTGGTGCGTTATATCCATCGGGCGTCTCGGACGGGTCCGATATAGAGGGTGTCGGCGATATCACGCGAGGCGTTGCCGGTACGGGATTTGGCGAGGACATCTCGGGTACCCTCAACTTAAAAGCAGGCAGCGATGCGGTTCTGATGACACCAGAAAGTAACCGCGTACAGATGTCTGTGTTGTCGCAAGCGAATATCCCACGGAGTATCAATGGACTTGCTAACAAAGCAATGATGGCGGTTTGGGAGCACGTGATAGCGCTTTATCGTTAATTATGGGCGAATAAACTGGAGAAACGAGACAGAAACCTAGTACATGACGCGATCACCAAGCACTTGTTATATTAATTAAGAGTAAAGTAAATGTAGTAAGACTAAGTCGAGGGAAAAAGCAGATCACCATCCCAGTTTCCGCCCACAGCCGCAGTCACGTGCCTGGTATCTAATCGATAACGGAGATTTTTTTTCTTTGCGATGCGACTCGAGAAGCAATTTGACGACTCGGTGTCAGTCAGAATTAATAAATGCCTCCCAAATCGTCTTCAAGAGCGTGGGATGCTCTCACGCCCCCGCTGTCAGAATGGTCCCTCGATGCTGTGGCCTCAATGGGCTTCACGCGCATGACCCCAGTCCAGGCCTCGGCAATCCCTCTGTTTATGCAGCATAAAGATGTGGTGGTGGAAGCTGTGACTGGAAGTGGAAAGACATTATCATTCCTGATTCCAATCGTGGAGAAGCTTCTTCGTCTTGATCAGCCTCTCAAGAAGCATCATGTTGGAGCCATTATCATTTCTCCGACAAGGTGGGTTAATGCGCAAATCCAGGTCTGCAGAGTTCGTTGCTAACATTGATATGTCAGAGAATTGGCCTCGCAGATTCACCAAGTTCTTCTCTCGCTTTTGGAGTTCCATCCAGCGTCGGCCGCCGCCATCAAACCCGCCGAAGAGGGTGCTCCTCGTGCGAAAACCTCTTCATCGACATTGAGGGTCGTTCCACAACTTCTCCTGGGTGGCGGAACATCTCCGGCGGAAGATCTGAAATTATTCCTCAAGAATTCGCCCAATGTATTGGTTTCTACACCCGGAAGATTGTTGGAGCTGCTTTCATCGCCTCACGTTCACTGCCCCCAGGCATCATTTGAAATGCTTGTCTTGGACGAAGCCGACAGACTCCTTGATCTTGGATTCAAAGACGATCTGCAGAAGATCTTGGGCCGTCTGCCTAAGCAGCGACGTACAGGATTGTTCAGTGCCAGTATCAGTGAAGCCGTTGATCAGATCGTCCGACTTGGTCTACGAAATCCCGTCAAAATTGCCGTCAAGGTCAGAGGAGGAGCTGGCGTTGAAGAAAAGCGCACTCCAGCGAGGTATGTCTTTCCATCCATTGTTCCGAATCCAAACCCAATCTAACCACTCAATAGTCTGCAAATGACCTACTTGACAACACCTCCGCTTCACAAATATGCCATTCTGAAGCACATCCTTTCCACTGTCCAACCCACCCCTCAAAAAACCATTTTCTTCGTATCGACATGCTCCAGCGTCGACTATCTCGCCACAATACTACCCATAATGCTCGGAGACGGGTTCGTGCTAGTCCCACTACACGGTAAACACCAAGCCAACGTCCGCCAAAAGAACTTCAACCGCTTCACCACATCCACAACCCCCTCCATCCTCCTCACGACTGATGTCGCCGCTCGCGGTCTCGACATCCCCTCCGTCGATCTTGTAGTGCAGATCGACCCACCCTCCGACCCTAAAACCTTCATTCACAGATGCGGTCGAGCCGGTCGTGCCGGCCGACGAGGCCTCAGCATCGTCCTCGTCCATCCCGGCCGCGAGGAGGACTACGTCTCATTCCTGGAAATCCGCAAAACACCCGTTGCGCCATACAGTCTGCCCGAGTTCACGGACGAACAGGCCACAGCCGCGATTGACAAGGTTCGCAAAGCGGTGTTGAAAGATCGTGCCATGCACGACAAGGGTCAGAAGGCATTTGTCAGCTGGCTGCGCAGTTACAGCAAGCATCAAGCAAGCAGTATCTTCCGGGTTGCGGATCTGGACTGGGAGGCTCTCGGAAAGGCGTGGGGACTCCTCAAGTTGCCAAAGATGCCTGAGGCACGCTCGTTTGAAGGAGATCGGACGTTGGGGATTAAACTTGAGTGGTCCAACTACACTTATAAGGACAAGCAGCAAGAAAAGCGTCGCAAGGAGGCTATGGAAGAGGCTGCTAATGCGCAAGGCACTGAGCAGGGATCTAACAAGCGCCGTGCTACGGAGACTGTGGCTTGGAGTCAGAAGACCGAAGAACGGGATAAGAAGTTCAAGAAGAAGGAATTCAAGAAGGCTCGGAAGGAGAAGGAGAGATGGGAGCAAATGCCAGAGGATCAGAAGCAGAAAGCTCTTGAAACGGAGCGCATGTTGGAGGAGATCCGTGCTAAGAATGAGCAGCAGCGGTTGTTGAACCAAGCTAGCCAGGCGAAAGAAGCAAAAGGCGATGAGTTCCAGGGCTTTGACTAGTTGGAATAGCATAGTAGATATCTATATACCATACCATGTTATGTCTTTATTTCTCTGCTACTGCAATTTCTCTACTCTATAAACCTCATCTCTACAGTCTGTTGGCTTGTGGAAGCTAAGCATTCCATTCAAATAACCTAACAACCGCTAATGTTCACTCATGATAATGCGCTAAAGAGCGACCAAAAAAAGGCACTCAAAAAACAAACCAAACCGCAAGAAACAACAAAAACAAGCCGCAAAAGGACTAGAAAAGTACACCCTCCTAGGCCCAAGCGTGGATCGATCCCTCGGGAGATCCAAAGCGGTCCTAAGGATGCCACATCGAAAAGAACAGAATCGAGGTCTCAAAACTCAGCCCAAGCACAGAAGGCGGGCGAAGGAAACCCTGTAATTCCATTCCATTCTTTTTTTCAAAATTTTCAAAATTTCCATCTCTTTTTCAGGTAGTTGAGAAGGGTACCCATTCAGAAGGTCCTTCAGGGCGTGTTAGAGAAAAGGTATTTGAGGGGGTATTTCGGAGGGTATTCGAGAGTATTCGAAAGGTATTTCGGTATTTCAGAAGGGGTTGAGCCAAAGCTCAAGCCAAGATCCAGTCACTGGCCAGATGATATGGTTCAGACAGCCAGTAGGTGGCATGCCGTGGCCAGTGAGGTATCTTTTTCTTTTTTTACTTCTTTTCTTTTTTACTGAGCAGCACGCCGAGTAGCAAGCCGGTCCATGAAGAACCCATGATGGTTTTCAATGTATGCCTTCTTGCCGGCGGCACTCGAGGACCATGCGCGCGGTAGGTACTTGTGAAGGTTAGGGTCGTCGAGATCCAAGCGCTCAATCCAAGATTCAGTCTCCGGCCAGATGATTTGGCTCAGATCACCGGTGGGGCATGCCGTGGCCAGGGAGGTTTTTCTCATCTTGCGGCGACGGAGGACGTCGTCTTCAATCGACGAGTTATAGCTGGTCGAGAAACGATGGGCCGCTCGAAGACGACTGGGGGTTTTCGGCTTGTACTGCTCTGCATGTTGACGGGCCTTGCGAAGTTCGTCGCCGGAACCTTCGGTGGGCTTGGATGCACCCTGGTCGTTGAAGTTTTCCAGGCGGGTATTGTCAGAGCGAACATGGTTGAAGACATGCTCCTCTTTTGATGTATCGGTGAGTGTAGGTCGTTTGGTCGTGGTATCTTCACGGACACGCTCGGAGACATCCTTCTCTTCTGGTGCATCATCGACTGTGACTTGGCGCGCACGCTTGGAGACATGCTTCTCTTTCGGTGCATCGCTGACTGTAGCTTGTTTGGCCGTATTATCTTGGGGTCCCTGCTTGTCTGTGGGCAAGTCCACGTAGTCATCCGGGATCTCGAAGTAGGCTGGGTCAAACCCATAACTACATCCTGGAGGGTGTGGAATGACATCGGGGGAGGGTTCGCGCTTGCGCTTCTTCGATTCTCTCTCGCAGATTGCACGAAGTTCTTCTTCTGAATTTGGAATGTCAAGGCCCGCAATATCCGACTCCCCGACACGCATGCGCTCAAGCAGTGCTTGGTCGAAACCTCGTGGGTACAGATCATAGTCATATTGCCTTCTTTGGCCGACTCGTGGAGCACGTGCACTGGCTGTCAGACGCGAGTTTTTCTCTGCACCACGTGGGCGGGGAGTGGGAGATTCGAAATTTCTTAGTGGTATAACTGAAGAGGAAGGGGGAGCTGAGGAGGGTGTTGTGACGGAAGCAGAAGAGTCATTTCCCATTGAATGTTGAGGTTCGGCCACTAGAATCACCATGTTAGCCACTAGAAATATATACCATGACATAAGGGAACCTACCTTGTGGGACCTGTGCAGTTTGGGGCCCATTGCCTCGTCTCCAAAGACCAGTCACTGAGTTGAAGAACCATTGTCCCCAACCAGTCCGGTTTTGATTCTGATTTGGAGTTGATGGAAGTGCAGAAGGCACCGAAGAGAATGAAACAATACGGTTACCACGGGGCGCCGTCTCTTCATTTGCGTGAGAGGCCAGAGGGGTCGAGTTGCCAGATCTCACATCTTCGCCCTGCTGAGCCAAAAGCTCGGGGACACGGTAAATGGTGCTATCGATTCGTCCATTCCTTTCCGCTTCGCGTCGTCGCGCGCGATCCGCATACGTTCTGCGAGAGCTGCCACGAGGACGGTTTTCGAAGCTGGATGGAGTTTGAAGTGTCAACTTGTGACGTTTCGACGGCGTAGGATCGACTTCGGACAATCGATTCCGTTTCCTGCTGGGCTCTTCCGTGGGGGTCAGCAGGGATTCATCCGGGGTATTAATCATAGGGAGTCTGCGAGGCCAGTCCTTCCAGGGAGATGGCGGGGACCAGGGGAGTGACCAGGGGATTCGACGAAGCTTATCATAGGCTCTTCCAGGGGGCCAGGCATAGTAAGTGACGGGGGTTTTCGGAGGGGGAGGAGTTGGCTCAGGCTCCCTTTTCAGAAGTTCGCTGGCACTGCCCCATTTGAAGGCCGTGATAATTCGTCCTCTGAACATGCGCGGGGGGGACTGGGGGAGCGCGGGGGGAGCGCGGGGGGCAACGTACGGGTGTCTGGTTGCTCCACGGACGGAATGAGTGTAACGGGGTCTTCCTGGGACTCGGTGGCGTCAGGCTCCGAGGTGGGAGCGGCGGCCTTCTTCTTGCCCTTTGCGGCGGCCTTCTAGAAACATGGGTTAGGTGTGAACAATTGTGACATCTGGTTTCTGGACTGACCTTCTTGCGGCCAGCTTGCTTGGCTGGCTTTCGCTTTGGAGCGGGCCTCTCTCCAGCGGACTGTGTCTCTGACACAGTCTCTTGCGCCTCGGGCGCGGTGGTGGTGGTCTCGGATGCTGCGTCCGTCGCAGCCGCCGACGCACTACGCGTCGTGCGCCGGCGGCGTGGGACGTAGTCCGAGATTGGCGGAAGAACGTGGTTCGACCGCAGTCTCATCTTGGCGAAACGCGCAAGATGAGGAGGGAGGGGGTTGGTGGCGAGGGGGTGGTGAGGGGCAGGTGAAAGAAGTCTGATTGAAATGTAGTGGATCAGTCAGAGATATCTCAAGGATTCCTAGGTAACATATGTAGATACTAACCGGTTTGGTAGAGTCGATCACAAAGACTCTGGCAAGAGATATCCAAAAGGCAATGTTTTGGATGGTAATGTTGTGGGTGATGGGGAGAAGAAGAGAAGAGGAGAGGAGAAGAAGAAGAGGGGAGATGTAAACAACAACGGTTGCTAGACGCGACTAAACGATCAGAAGGGAACCTTGGAAGGAGCACCTTTTGGGCCAAACCATGTCACTTTTTTCAAAACCGGAAGGCGCGACCGGCAGAATTGCTTGGTCTCAGGGCGGTGTGACACATGAACAATGGGTCTATGAGGCTGTCGCAAGGGATACTCATTGACTATTGTTCCAATTATTGTTATTGTCTGATATCAAGGAGATTTTCTTTCAATGGGCAGTTTTGAACTCAACATTCTATATCATATCTCTAGTTAGTTCTCAATTGATACTCCGTACATGAAGCAGCCTTGTCTCTTCTCATCTCTTCTCATCTTAGATCGTCCCCCCGGATACTCCGTGCCTAGGTAGTCCACTCCTCTTAAATAACCCCAAAATACGACATTCTCTGTCTCAATATAATCCATTGGTCGTTGATGTTGTCAAAATATCAGCTCAACATAGTCATCACATTTTAGCGATTAAAGCTTTCATACACTTAAAACGTCCGTGTTTGAAGCCAATGCCTGATGGAGAGATTGCTCTCGAGTCCTGAAAAATACTAGAGATCATTTAGGCGAAACCGACTAAATTCCAGAACTTATGCTTCAATGACAAGCTGGTTACTTGAAATTGTTTAACGTGAAAATGGATCTGGGAAAAGAAACAATGCTATTTGTACAGATGCTCTGCGCATGAAACATGGAAATAGAGACATAGACCAACAAGTACCCCTCGCTAGCTCCTAGATAGATGATACAAGGTAACACGCTGATACTTTTTTCAAAGCCAGCCAATCACAAAAGAAGATAACAGTGTAGAGATACAAAAGATCTCTTATTAAAACAATGCCCTTCATAGGGCAATCTCTCCCTTCCACGCAGCGTCGGACAATCCCAATGTCCCCATCAGGTTCTGCCACCGGGGACCTCCGCGTTCCTTCTTGCGGACATATTGCAGCAGCTTCTGGCGCTTGTGGACTAGTAGTTGCATGTTGCGCTTGTTGTGTTTGTCCTTGTTGGCGGTCTCGAGGTGTCGGGAGAGGTTCATGATTTTCACGGTCAGGATCGCGGCTTGCACCTCCGCAGAGCCGGTATCGGGTCCAACACGCGGCGCGCGTTCCGGATGAACAGGGGCAGATTCATGGGCCATAGCCGAAGGCTTTGGTGGGAGATTTAAGTCTGTGTAGTGTCGCCCGAATGTTTCGATGCACTTTGTAATGTTGAGACGCACGCGGTCCTTGGTGTTTCCATTGTTGAGGTTGACAATCCGGTTGATTGCTTCCTGGGCATTCTTATGCTCTTGGTTATGCAAATTCACTGCCTCCTTCTCTGCTTGAGGATCGGCTGTGTTGCGATCGGAACTTTTAAGCGGTGCGGTCAAATCCTTGGAAAAGTCGAGGGCAGCATCCAGCTCGTTCGACTTCAAGTAGTAGTTGAGATCCTCAGACAAAGATGATGGGATGTGCGAGTTGGATTGGATTGCGGTCATCTCTAGGATAAATGGTGTCGGCTGGCTCTTAACAGGGTCCCCGAGCGAGGATTCCCGTTCCTCCGCAAGGACTTTCTGGCGGGAGATATTGGCTGCCTTGCGCTGGCGCGCCTGGGCCATCAGGAATGGGTCATGCTTCCTCCGGATTTGAACCTTGCTAGACGCAGCTCTGATAGAAGTGTTGATTGAATTGGACAACGGGCTAGATCCGTAGGTTGATCCTATACGAGTCTTGGTTAGCATCCGGGTAATTGAACATTTGACTTGGGTGATCTTGGCTAGCATACCGGTCAATGCCTTCAAAGAGGGCTGGACTGAAATGCGCGGAGGCATGGTGGGCGTCGCTGGCGAGTAGATACTGTATTGTAACAATCAACTTCTCTTTTCCATCGACCTTTCGTCGGGAAATCTTGCGGCCGGAGGTCCAGCTACGCTAATCCTAGTCAGGGTGTTCTCTGCCCCAGGCATTCAGCATCACGTGGGTAAAGAGCCAAGATCAGTATTACATAACCAATACCCCAGCGGGACTTGGAGCCCTAGCCCTAGCGCACGCAAGCGAAATTCTCCCGAACCGCGAGAGTGCAACAATTTTGCGGCTTGGCTTTGATCTTTTTCCCTCCATCACCACGACAAGAGCCAGACGATTGATCCTCCAACTCATCAATCCATCAATCGCCCAACATGGCCCCTTCCCAGCTCCCCCGGTTTTCAACCCTACCGCGCAGGACATTGAGATGCTCCTTGCCGCTCAGTGCCACCTTGGTTCCAAGAACCTTCAGGTGCACATGGAGCCTTACCTCTGGAAGCTCCGCGCCGACGGTGTCAACGTCCTGAACATTGGCAAGACCTGGTATGCGCTAACGCAAAACGACTTCTGACTGTAGTATAGTGTCTAATATATATGTTTCATTGAAATAGGGAGAAGATCGTCCTGGCCGCCCGTATCATCGCCGCCATTGACAACCCCGCCGATGTCTGTGTCATCTCCGCTCGTCCCTACGGCCAGCGTGCTGTCCTGAAGTTCGCCTCCCACACCGGTGCCACCGCCATTGCCGGTCGTTTCACCCCCGGTAACTTCACCAACTACATCACCCGCTCTTTCAAGGAGCCCCGTCTCATCATCGTGACCGACCCTCGCACTGATGCCCAGGCCATCAAGGAGGCCTCTTACGTCAACATCCCCGTCATTGCCCTTTGCGACACTGACTCCCCCACCGACTTCGTCGATGTTGCCATCCCCACCAACAACAAGGGTCGTCACGCCATCGGTCTCGTCTGGTGGATGCTCGCCCGTGAGGTCCTCCGTCTCCGCGGTACTCTCGCTACCCGCGAGACCGAGTGGGACACCGTTGTCGATCTCTACTTCTACCGCGACCCCGAGGCCGAGGAGAACAAGGAGATTGCTGATGAGGCTAAGGTTGCCGGTGCCGAGGAGGTCGGTGCTGGTGCCGTTGAGTCCGGCTTCGCTGGTGAGAACTGGGATGCCTCCGCCCCCGGCGCTGGTAACCCCGGCACTGCCTTCGCTGCTGCCTCCGCTGCCACCGCTACTGCCGGTGCCACCAGCTGGGATGCCGAGGGTGCCGACTGGGCTGCCAGCTCCGCTGCCCCCACCGGCGAGTGGGCTGAGGCTGCTCCCGCCGCTGGTGAGGCCAAGTGGTAAATTGCTTCGCTGTGACGAGGATAGTCGTTGAGAGGGGGGAAGTTTGATCTCAATAAAAAGTTTGGTGATCCGGGATGATTGTGACGATTTTCTGGGTCCTTCGAGGCACAGGAATCGAAGAAATGCTCTTGTTTTCTCTTATACACCATCTACTCCATTCACAACAATGGATTACAATCTCCCGCAAATTCCCTTGACATGTCTATCCTAGTCCCTGTGTGCAATTCTCAAAAAACCAAAAGAAACTGAAAAACAGCAGAAGAAAACGAGCTTTCACCGGGAACCTTTCAATCTTTTGCCTCAGTGGTCTCATCTTACCAGCACTTTTTTATTTTCCATGTTTTCGCATCGGGGAGGAATTGCCATGCCAATCATTGACTGGCGCTTATGAGGGAAAGAGATCCAGTTGCTTTTATTTACGAAGCTTCTGGGGGAAAGCCCTGTGCTGTCAATTCACAAGGTGGACTTAATCGTTACCTTGGTTTCTCCCTGTGTGTATTCTAGTAATCTGAAAAGGTTGTGCTTGGTATCATATCCAGTAGGTTTTGTAGTGTATGTGCCTTGCTGTTGTAGACTTGACCATGTTATCAAATATGTGCACATAGTAGCCCTGGGCACAATGCCTTTTATAACCTTGGAAGGACAGTTCCGCTTGGTATATTATCTGTCTGCAGGGTACTGCCTCGTCTAATGGCAGACTCCCCTATCAACTAGGCCATTATGTCTTAACTGCGTTGCACCTTTGACTGATCAGTTACCAAGGCCTTGAATGTCTATCAGTTGATCGCTGAACTGAATTGAAGCGTGGGCATAGTCCTCGGGCATTGACCCGACTGGTTTATACATGCATGTCTGGGTATGAGAAACAAGATCAAACATGGACAACAAAAGAATCAAAGAATAACACAAGAAGTGCCCTCGGACTGGCCACCTTTTTCAGTCGTCGTCATTGCTGCCAGTCTCGCGAGATCTTCAAATGTCTCTGCGAGCAGCTCGCCTGTAACAGCTGAACACTCGGCGTATCTATCACAACGAAGTTCCTGCGCAATACGATAGCCCTAGATACACCAGTTAGTCAATGAGTCGATTCAAGGCGCGAAGCTCCAGCTTATAGTCACTCACCTCTTGTGGATAGATGATTTCCTCGCCTTCTTTCCGTAGGTCCCTTTTCAGACCTATCATCATCACTGGAAGGCGCTCGCCATGACCGTACTGGAAGTAACGAGTAATGTCATTTCGCCACTAACGAATAACATTGAGTGTCAGGACGAATTGACAATTGCCCCGAATAATACATGTAAGACTTACCTCTTTTAGTCCAGCAAGTGTGTCTCGGTTGGAGATATCGAAGGCTAGAACAACCACGTCAGGCCGAAGGGTTGTCCAATGCTGGTTTGGGTTGGACGTGTCGTAAAGTTTTAGAGTGAATGTCTTTTTTGAGAACCGGATGTCGTAAATGAAAGGCTGATCACCATCTCGTAATAGTTCAAGGGTATTTGGTTGATTATCAGATGACCCCGACAGGGACGGCCTTCCACTCTTCAGGCGACTGGATGAAGTTAGCATGTCCTTATATAT